AACTAAAATAAATTTCTTTTAGAATATTACATCGTATGCCCAGCATAACATTAGGTACATATATGGCCTTAACTCGATATTTTTTATGTTAATTTTAAATCACTTTTTGATCACCTAATTCAAACACGATGTACAAACAATATATGCGAAAATCACAAAAGAATGAAAAAATACACGTATAATCACAAAAAAACTTGACGATCAGGTAGATCGTAGACCAAAATAAAATACGATATAAGTAGGTAAACTGATAGAGAAAAGCGTACAGCTAAATACTCATTGCATTGATCTTCTAAATCTATATAATTGTTGAAAGTACTTATCCAAGGCACTGACCAAAGAGTAACACACACTTAAACCATGCTCCACGTAATTAAATCTCCATATTCAAAGTTGATAAAAATCCTTAAAGTGATACGCAGTTCCTTGGACATTTTGGGTTTCCATACAGTAGGTTATTATTAATAAGTCATTGTTCTTGAAAAGAACGGTGCAGTCTTTTGTTTTTCAGCGAATATCCCAGAAAATACTCTGACCGACAACTACATGGATGCTATACTTTTTTTTCCAAATTGCACACTAAGTTTAAAGCGCTATCAAACACAGCATATTAACTACAAAGAATATTCTAGTTGGAATCAGAGTATGCCTCTAGAATTATTGCACAGGATTTGTATTTCTGCAGGGCAAATTTCGAAAACTACTTGACCACATGATATCCAGAGACGTTCGGTTGTGCAGCCGAACCCGATACATACAGGATAGTACAGGGTACGGCAGTGAAACGGGAAGATTTACAAAAGTTATCACAAACTAAGGTATAACTAAGGCAACAATATAGGTTCGTTCTGCAACAGACTCCGAGAATATGTAAGAAACCAAAGGTAGATGTCGCCTGATACAATTTTCAAGAAAACATAACCATTTGAGCATTTTTGTTAAATTATCGATAAATTGTTATATTTTAGTTTGTCATAACTTTTTTAAGTCTTCCCGTTTCACTGCCGGACCCTGTATTTTAGTGATATTTAAAATGTGAGACCCATTATAATAATTTCAGTATGTTTTTAAATCAAAATGTCTGATCCCTTAAAAGTGTACTCACTATTAAAATCTTTTAATTTCGATATTTATCACCGTTTCTAAAGTAAAATTATCACAAAACCGTGCATCACTTTCAAAGCAAACATTTTCTATTTCTAATCCTCACAGGAAAGAATTGTGTAGAAACGTAAATACTGAGATACTGAAAAATAAGTAGGTAATATGTCAGTAACAAACATAAAAATCGAAATTATATGCCATTTAAAGTTTTCTTGGTCAGTTTATGAGAAATTCGCCATGCAGTGGATATGCACAGTCACTCCTAATTTGTTGCAACTACAAAACTATAAATGTGTTCTATGCTGGAAATAGGAACAGAAAAATCGTAATATTGTATTATATTTTATATCTATTTACATATGACTAAAGTAGAGCTTTTTAAATATTCTTAAAATCCTGTTTCAAGTGTTTTGGAGTGCAGCGCTAAGCAAACGTGACCAAATACCTTTTTATGGTGCAGAGTTTGGAAAAACTACCAAATATGTTTCAGTTGTATTATTCATATCATACATGTGACCAATAATGTACAATTTGGACTCAGAAATTGTACTTTGTGTAGAGCATTTTTCTCATTTCAGAGGGCTAAAAGAATCATAATTTCTAAGTATCGTCTCCACACTTCACAATATTTGTTGAAAGAATAAATATCCATTTATGTTTCGGCGATAGCGCTTTTATATGCACATATACAAATTATCCTGAAAATATATGCGAAATTTACGCACAATTTGATAACTGGTTGTGTGTAAGTGTACATACACGAGGGATAAAAACCCGACTGAGAAGCCTGGAGATTTTATACGTGAATCACATTTGCTCAGCGCTAACAATCTCTAGAACACAATTAAAAATCTGAAAGCTATATTTATAGTTTCTCACTTAAAGCGTAATTTATTGCCTTCCCCCGAAGTTTCATGTCGCTGCATTCACATCTTCTTTGAACAAAACACATCTTCCTTTTCTGCATTCGTTTAAAGCACAGATACATTATTTTAAAATTTCATATAAAGTCTTTCTAATAGTTGAAGGTACAACTAATTCCGCGAAGGGTCGCTGAAGTCTTGCACTCGTTTTGTATGACTGTATATGAACACATGGGTATCTTTTCAGAATTTATTGTAACCTGGGAAATATTTGATAGGTTCGTGAGGTTGGTTCAACACATCTGTATCACAAACAGAAAGTAAAATATTTATAAACTGGAGATGAAAGACAGTATTTATTTTATTTATGATTAAGTTTTGTGGGAAGTGTTGACCAGAAACATTTATATTACAGTTACACTCAGTTTTTGGCCACACCTTCGTTGTAAAAAAGGGGAGTTGGAGTACAAGATACCGGCGAAATATGGATTACCCTACCCGCGTAAATTGCAAATATAGGTCCATATGGAAGCTCTACGTATATAATATATCACTGTCATCACTGCCGCTTCAACGGCTAAAATAGCATGTTCAAACGCCGTTCTTGTTCTTCTTCAACGCACAGAACGTTGGAATCAGGAATCATGCATCATTTTTATGAGTTTTGGTGAAATAGTTGAATATTTACTGACTCAATATATTAAATGATGTCCTGACACCACACACTTCGTACTGGCGGAAATGCATCGCTAACCGAGGTCGCTGGTGACCCGGTGTACCACCAAAATGGCTTATAAATGCACACGATGTACATCGGTTGGAGTAAGCGCACTCCCATGCTTTTGGTTTTTTTGTTTGTTTTTTTTTTGTCATTTTGTCAGAAATGAACCAGCCAGTATTGCCAGTTGCCGCATATCTGTTGTTGACGTGGTGGACCCGCTGATCTTGTCGATTTCCACCAGACTCTGCTTCACGTAGTCCTGAAAACAATGAGATAATTCTTGTAGCCACAGCGATACATGATGACTATGAATATAAATATACGTTAAATCTGCATCCTGATATGACGCCACGGCTTCCGATGGGAAAATGGAGAAAGTTACAAGCGCATTATGCCCGGCATGCCCTGTACTACTGAGACATAGAGAATATGTACCAGTGAAGACAGTTAGACAAGGGTCAATTGAGAGCGGTAGACTGAACAAATCGATTCAAAAGGACTAAATATGATGCTATTGTGTTTAAATTTCAGACTTATACTTATTCAAATATATCCAAATTCATCCGACAAATCAAAACAGAAGCAGTTGGTCCACGATTGTATATCTAGGAGGATGTTGCTATTACTTGAGGATCATAGTATATATAAATCACATTACTTTTATTATTAACAGTTACCTCTTATAAAATATATTTCCAGATATGTGAAAAATTTCAAAAGTGTTGCCTAAACCCAAATATCAAATGTAAAACAAATATCAGACCTCAGATCAATAAGTAGTCGTATATTACTAATCTTTTCCAAAATTATAGAGAAAACTATGGAACGACAGATTTCCCAATATGTCGAAAATAAGTGCATTATATCTCATGTGCAATCTGGTTTCCGAAATTCTTGTGACACAACACAGGGCTTGCTTGTATCGTCGACGACGTTGTTAGTCCACTATTCGCGGTGAAGCTGTTTAATATTACTAGATTACAGTAAGGCTTTTGATACAATTGACCACGAAATTTTGTGTGCCAAGCTTAGATATTATGGATTTAGCTCTGCTGCCTCCCAACTTATAAATAGCTTCATTACTAAATAAAAATATATCAGTATATCTCCATTAATAACGAATTATCTAATAATCGGTCCTGAGTGGGTCCCCATTCTCAGTCCTCTTTTATTTTCTATATACATTTCGGTTTTTGCAAAACACAGCAAAATTAATCACTATGCAGATGATACACAATATACTACAGATTTGCGATTGACGATGTGGTTCCCTCTTTTAATCTAATTACAACGATCTGGACTTACTTTTTCAATATCTCAGCAGCTCATAACTTGACAATAAATGCTGATAAATCTAAAATAATTTTTTTGAGTCAAGAAACAAGCGAAAATCTAAGTCAATTAGCAATTAATAAAATTCCATTACCAATTGTAACCATTAGCAAAAATTTAGGGTTATGGTTGGACAATGAATTATAATTTTATTTCAATATTAAAGAATTATGCTCAAAATCATATAGTATATTGAAACAAATATATCCTTAAAGAAATATATCAAACAGTAAACTGAAAATGCTATTGTATGATGCTCTTAGAATTCAAGGGTTTGATACTGCGCAAGTGCATATGGCCCAGTTATAATAAAAAATGGTAAAGACGACGGCCACAAAAGTCTTGTTACCGTTTTTCTCTAGGTATAAGGAAAATGGAGAATCTCAGAAAATAGCAAAGTTTATTTTCAAGTCATAAAATTTTAGTCAATAAAAAACCAAAATATCCTTTAAGTAAAGGCCACAAATTTGAAAACATTAATAACATGGCTACCAGTCATCGACAATTATTAGTTATACCTAAGCACTTTACGTCTCTCTACAAGAAGAGCTTCTCTTATACTGCTGCCAAGCTATACAATAGTCTTCCATATGAATTTCGAAATTATGCTTTCAACAATTTTAAAAAGAAGCAGCAGTACATAATCACTCCCTCAACATCGTGCCACCCATTCTACCTTGATAGCTTTGAAATAAATTGGTCACATATGATAAATTTAATCTAGTTTTACAAAAAAAAAACAAATCTATAGTAATATATCGCTTATCACTTCATTATTCATTTTTGAGCCGTTTAGGTCAATTTCATATTAGGATGTGAGGTTGAGTTGAAAAAAATACCATCATGGTAACTACACTCCACCGATTCGATTCTCAAAATTTTAGTCACTTATCACTGTTGGACATACTATTTAAAAGATCGAATAAAGGCAATTTATTATTATTATTATTATTATTATTATTATTATTATTATTATTCGTTGAGACAATAGTCATGATTAACCACATATACCTATTTTTTCGTCCAATGTGGATATTGCACGTTGGAAAATATTTATGCAAGACAATCGATCAGAGCAATGACCAAATGTATCAGACATTCTTGTCTTCCACGTCCTCCCTAAAAAAATAGATGTTAGATCTGAATGGAATACTGTCTATTTTCGTCGGATAGGGGATCAGGCGGCTTGAAAGAACAAAGGGGCAGTGAGGGTGGGTAGGATTGAATTATCCTGTAACATCCTCTGAGGGTTGGTTGGCAGCTTGTGAATGGAAGAGGTGCGCCGGCTTCCCCCTTTCCTGCCTCCTAAGTTGTTGTTTACTAAACATGCTTGCCTTTGCGGATGCGCTTATCCGAAAAATCGTACACGTGAACCACTACCGCGGAGTAGCAGGCTGACAAGTTTGAGCTGCTTTGTACATTAAATCGCTTATGACTCAACAAAGACGTTATGGTAAGTCGTATCAGTCTCACTCAATGTACAAGAACGCTCAACTTTGACAGCCTGCCAGACTGTCATTTTGGGAAATATAGTTATAAGGTACCCATAATGAGCGTCAAAAATGACACCTAGGAGACCTGCATATTCTAACCCTTTGTTGCGAAAATCAAACTTGAAAGGGCTGAAATAGGATGAAAGTTATTATGGGAAAACTATTGTTCTTCAACTTAGAGAAACAAGTATGGGTTTTGTGTATTTGGTCCTTTGATATAATGTAAATGGGTACTTACAAAGCAATTTTGGAAGCTCCACTGAGGGGTGAATTGGAAATGGTACCAGGAAGCCTCGCAGGAAGTTTAGAAGTGCACATCGTGCACCTCTGTTGGTGTAAGAGCACTCTCGTGCTCTTGGTCTTTCCTAATTGGAGGAGGCGTGACCTCTCCAACCCTAGTATTTGCTCCACAGCTTCCTGGCCTTAAATTTTCGACATATGAATGTTCGCTGACAGATGTCCACGAGGTGGAATCGCGGATCATCTTGTCTAACTGTACCAGACACTGCTCCACGTAATCCTGAAAAAATGAGATAATTCTTGTATCACAGAGAGACACGATGGCGATTGGTTTAAAGTATTCAGTTAATCCACATCATGATATGACATCACAGCTTCCGAAGGGAAAATGTAGAAAGTGACAAAACGGTATGCCCTGCACTACTGAGACAAACAGATTGTGTACCAGGAGATGACAGACAACCGCAAACTAGAGAGAGGCAGACTGGCTAACTAATTCAAAGGAACAAAGTACGACTCTTAGCCACGTATAATTGTTATTTAGCGAGAGGCGAATGATTGCTAGATAGATAAAGGTCTATCAGAATCAATTTATTGTTCTTGCCTTGTAACGAAGGATTATCAAGGACCTTTTGCTTAAATTTGCTTTAGTTCAGACTTACACTTATTCATGGTGGCCATACTTATCGTTAATTTGCAGTCTATCAAATGTACACATTTTTTGTTGTTGCGCTCATCCGAAAAATCGTATACAAGTGAAAATATCTGTCGAAAATTTCAGGATGGCGGCCAGACGTCATCTTATATTTTCTTAAAAGGAACGCGGGGCTATGTGATTCCTTACTTTAAAACACCTTATGAGTACTTCATTCACCTTAGATTATATAGAGATAGTAAGTTTATGCTCTAGAGCTACGAGCTTCAAAAATTATTTGTCACACGAGCCCATATTCCAGTTGAAGGGTGTTTCCAAAAATGGTGCTCTAAACCGCCATCTTGAAATTTTTTACTGCCACTTTTAAGCTAAACCATCATGCATTACCCCGAATTTCAGAATTTCAACTAGATCCCTTAAAAAAATAAGTAGCAGCAGGGATCTTTTTGAAAAGCACTGCATTCTAAATAAAATCATTATTTGTTCGATTGTGGACTACCCGACACACACTTGAAATATAACACATGTTAAACATGCATTTTCAATATAATATTCATGATAATATGCAAGCAATGTCTCCCGATAAATGCGTACAAGTGGTGTACTCATCCTTGAGCGATTCTGTTCAAGATGGTATTTACCGCCTAGTTTTACTTTAGTCAGGTGGTTGAGAACTACGTTATGTAAAAACTGAAAATTGCTTACACATAATACTATCTCTCCCAAATAATTTCAAGAATCTAAATGTTTTGTTTTAACTAAAACTAAATGTACTTTGATAAGAGTCTGTATATTTTGTACATATGCATACTAATATAAATATTATTTTGGTTATAATTTCTGAATCCCTTTTTTACTTTCTTACCAAAGGAAGTTGTGTCCTGTTTTACAATTTCGGAACCTGTATATGCCAGTAACGTATCTTCTCTCAGACCTTTTTTGTTTTTTAGTAAAAGTAAATGTAGACAAAAATGCTTACAAGTGCATTGTTAGAAGCTCAAAGTGAACACTTAATAAGAATAGACGTTTTACGCTAAACAATTTGTTAATGTAAGGTTGTAACATTATGGAAATTCCAATTCAAGTGACTTTACTGCCTCCTCACAATTAGTGGAGAATATCCCTTTATATTGTCTGCACAATTGCTATGGCCGATTTAAATCACCCTTGTTCCATAAATAGCTACCATAAAACCATAAAAAAGCTCCATGGAATCGTGAAATTCAGTTCTGTTAACGGTGCCATTGATGTTTTTTTTTTCAGCAAATGTTTCCGATCTCAGATCAAGTGTCAAACAGATGTGTTAATGTTCTTGCTGTTGGATGGCATTTAGAAGGAGATTGTATTGTTGCAGACACGTTTCGCTATACTTGAGTTTAAGATTTTTCGTTCTGCGTACCGGGTGACCCAGTAATAAAAGATGCTGTTTCGCAAACTCTTCACTAGATAGTGGTGGATTTTAGGGGCTGCAATCTCGGCAAATTATATGTACAGTTTTTGGCATATGAATAAAGGAAGCAACCGTACTGTTTGATACATGTTTTTACTGGTACTTCATGTCTGTTGCTATATATGCATTTTCAAAATTTGACGGTTGGCAGTGTACTATAAAAAACTTTGATGCAGCACCTACTTTATATGAATCCTCAAAGACGTTAATAGACCTGTCGAGTCTGCAACAATTAACATGTAGGTTCTGTAGTAGACGGAATCCCAGACGAAAACTTTCCTGGTTACATTAGATGACAGACAGCCTTTGGTCACCAAGCGTCTTTGGTGGAATACTGATTCATTTTGGTTTAACCTTGACTGTATACAAACAAGAGACTCTTACCTTTTCGATACAGGTTATTTCAGTCAACGTCTGTAGAAGATCTTCTAATGACCTACCACTCTTACACACCCAACCTACTCCACATAATGCTGAGGCTATACATGCGGAGGCTATTATGCTGGGATGATACCTCGAAAATACGAATTCTGTAAAAAATGTGAGAAACCAAAGTTATAGTTACTTTCCTTTTCAATAAGTACTACATCGTTTACATGTAATAGTGATAGAAAAATAGTTGCAATATCTCTACATTGAAACCAAATTTTGAGCAAATAGATAGATAGTTTGTGTACACTGAGAAAACGTGATCAATTAAACAGTTGTTCTGGAAAATTTTCATTACCCGCAACATTTTTTTTAATTATTCTAAGTAACTGAATTATTCGGTTTCATTAAACTAAATCTTTTGGGACCAGTTTAATTGAAATCAATATACTATCAAACTAATTTGCTTGAAAACAGCAGATCATGTACCTGCTTTATTAAACTGTTTAGTTAGTTTAAGTAATTTAGTTTATGTAGACAAGGTACATTTGAAACAATTAATCATTTTGATAAAACCAGTTAAACTGTTTATTTGAATCGCGGAGTCGGCAGGGCTCTGCCCTTTATTCCTGAATGATTTGAGTTTGCGACAGACGCAGTGCCAATGACGCGCTTCGAACTCCTCAGTTTCATTTGTTAATTTCGCGACGAGCGTCATATTCGAATATTGCCGTTGTTGGTAAAGTGGATCAACCATGGTGATCAAGTGAAACACTCGAGCATAAAGCACTTAGTGACCATAACCATGGTTAGAAAATGTCTTGCTCCCAACGAAACACTCTATCTAGGGGGGGTTTTAGAATGGATTATTTCACATTTAAACGAGGTCGAAGTTTCTTGGTTTTTGGAGCACAATCGTTGTCGGAATAGGCAGAGAATCGCAGTGGTGGATCGTGGATCACGACGAACCTGACTTTGATATACTCCAAATACTTCGAACTAATCTGGAATAATTGTACAAATTTTGGACAGATATAATCCCCGCCTCTGGATGCAATGATGTATTAAGGAAAGCCAAGAAATTCCTTAGCCACCACAGGTAACTTACAAATGGAATCGCAAAATGGTTCGCAAATATTCGATTTTAAACCATACTTAAATGAGGTTGGTGGACGAACAGAGTGCAGTGATGTTCGGCACTATAAAAAGGAAGATGAGGGCCTTGGGCACCGTGTTTGGATCGTGAGAAAGTGCCAGCATTACCGGGGCCCGGTCGGCATTCCATCGTCTCTTATATACCTACGTACGATCGCGAGACCACTCGACTTTTTCTGCATGTACAGGGTGTTTCGTTTTAATATGTCACTAACATTATCTTTGCAATTCTGGCTTGTGTATCTCGCATTCTAGAGGACGGTGGGCCTAGGAGAAGAATAACAATCTTATCCGACAGCCAGGCTGCAATGAAGGCACTAAGTGCCTGGAAGATTACTTCGAGCATTGTATTGCAATGCCGGGAGTCCCTGGATTGTGTTTCAGCGAGGCATCCGGTATCGTTAATGTGGGTACCGGGGCACGCTGGGATAAGGGGCAATGAGACGGCGGACGCTCTGGCGAAGGCAGGATCAACTTTAGGAGTGCCCGCGCAAGTAGTTATCAGAAAAATGGAGACGGGGATTGCAGGACAATACCCTTAGAAAAGGAGAAGTATCTCCAGATATCTCCGTCAGGCACGGGAACTCATTGTACGGTCCAGCGCTAAGGATGGACGTTTCTGCTTATCTCTGGATAGAGACAACCTAAGACTGCTGGTGGGACTGTTGTCTGGCCATAACACGTTAAGGCGCCACCTGCACGTGATGGGAACGGCTGAGGATTCGTTGTTTGAGCGCTGCGGGGTAGAGGAAGATACCTCGGTGCACGTTCTGTGTCGCGATGAAGCTCTGAACTACCATAGGCAGACTATACTGGAGTCCATTACTTTGGACCCTCAGGACGACAAGGAGCTTGGACTCAACTTCGCTAGGAAGGCGAGGCTTGAGGTCTAAGGAATGTTCTTTCATATTAACAATAAGAAAAGGGTGAGGAGAGGTCTTTAGACGCTTTGGTTTCATTTATTTGATTAAAACTATGGATTCAGTCCGTCTGATTTGTATGAATAAGGAAGCTTGTTCTACATACGCTAGGTATCCTAAGAATCAACTAGTGGAAATGGCATAAAAATGAATTATGAGTACAACATTCATATTGCTAAATCAATACTTTTCAAAAAAAAAAAACACGATTTGTTTTCTAGTAGCCTAATAAAAAGGTAGTTTTCCCTATAACTACTTGGTGATTATAAAAGAAAGGTAGCGAATATGCGTATGTACTCGGTTAAGATGGATGTAATCAAGAATATTTGCTTTGTCCGGGTCTCCTCTAGTGAGAATAACTAAATACCTGAATAATTTTGATTGCAGAATATAACCAATTATCCGTAATACGGTAGCTTTAACGATAACAGAGTTTTTGAGTGGATAGTAGAAAGTCTTTCAACTTGATTCTATTTGTTTTCTCGGAAGAGGCCACCCACATTCCCGGTAGACGCAAAAAAAAAGAATACGAATGAAAAGTGAGTCGGCGTATGTATTGGCGCTGTGGAGTCTGTACGACCATGGTACGACCACAACGAAACTACACCAATAAACAACATACAATGGGAACTCTTGACGAAGACGTAGGATGGAAAAACGCGAACAGACCACTGTTAAGTAGAGTCACTCGGTGCTTTCTACAAACTAATGGCAGATCGTTGGCTGCGTAAAAACAAATTGGGGAATAAATTGAATCAGATTCAGAGTGATTGCAGATTATCTAAGTCAAAGTTTGATACAAGATGATAATGTTATGCATGAGCATTCGTGGTTGGCGAGTAGCCAATCAAAAAGTTTTCAGCAAAGGTGAACAGTCAAACTCAGTTCTATGTCTATCTTATGACCACTGATCAATGAATGCAAAAAAATCATAAGGAGCCTTTAAGCCGTTAAAACAATTACCTCAAAACCTAAAAGATACAATTAAGGGAGAGCGGAACACATATTGCTCATTTTTTAGTGTTTCCAGAATTTATGATAATTCTTTACACTATTTGAAGTCGGTGACATTCCCTTATTGAACGTTAATTTTTCTATATCCCGCATGTGTATACCTCACAAGTCAGCATACCATGTTACTAGTCAAATAAACGTTCAATATCATCTGTCTACTGTGAGCATTATGTCCTTGGAATTTTATCAAAAAGATATTATTTCCACTCGTACATAACTCCACGTATAGTGGATCTAAATATTATCACAGCTGTTATTTGGAAGCGATATACGATATGATACTTCCTTTCTCGGCAGATTTTTTCCAACCGACATACAATTTGCAAACGACGTCGGACCAATGCAGAGAGAGAGGCACTGTAGCAGGAAGTAGCTTCTGAACTGTTGTTTCGAAACGCGCGTTGTAAAAAAAGACTCCAATATCCTTCATTTTCAATGATATTTAAATGGTATGAATAACAATAGCCGGTGTTTCATCTCACGATGATGTGACTGTAAACTTTTTGATGTGAAAGTAACAGATATAACTAATTTTCATGAGAAATGTGTAAATCTGGCAACTCTATGGACTGAGAGCTAGCAAAAAATTCTGTTGTTCACATGACGTCAATCGCTTTTCCTTAATGCTTCAGAATTCTTAACTCTCTTGTCAACTACAAATTGTTGGTGGAGATATTTTTTTAGTGAAATTTTTACGTAATAAGCACTTCAATAGTTGCAGTGGACATAAAACTGACCAGTCTAGTGATGCGTAGAATTTGAATTCCTCGAAATGCCTGACCAAATGAGTGAAAACGGCTTTCGTCCATGCAACCAACCATGTACAGCGCTGTTTCATTTTCCTTGACAGCACGGCCCAGGTGCGACGAACAATGAGAGGGGGGCAATTAATAACTACCATTTCTCATGAATGCGCAGTCAAAGCCTACCGTGTGCTGAATCTCTGAATGCTCAAATCCATACACCATGTATACATACCACGTTGTTCACGCAAGTCAGTAAAACACAACACCCACCGTACACAGTCATAGGCGGCTTATAGATTGAGTGCCGCTTAGGTCCAATGCTACTCCATCACACAATGGTCGTTACACAAGGCATTCCTTCGTACCAATTACGATTTACAGTCTTATTTCTTAGCCTCCGACAACGTCGTCACTTTATGGCCCTCGCTACTAATAAAACTTACATCTTTGCATTGTACTTTTGCACCAGAGCAGCGGTTGTACTATATTTGTTAAAACTCATTTAGGAAATATACAATTTGGTGAACTTTTATAATTAAGCATATAACCAAGATCTAACGCGTCTCTTGAATCACTGGTTGCAATAATATAACTTCCGCAGATTAAAATGAAACTGATCCTTTATGATGTCAATGAGCAATTTTACTTACGAGACATTATGCTAAATTTGTTGAGTCTTGTAAAACAAATGCTTTCACTATCACTACTACGTGAAATAAACCGAAGTTCTGGTATATCTATCAAAGCGTCAAACTAACATTTTTAATGTAGCGACTAAGGTAGTTACAAATATTTTTTGTACGCAGCAATCTGTATCAACTCGCAATATATTCAGAGCCACTCCCGCTTTTTACGTATTAAAATTTCATGATCTCTTTTGTAATACTGCTCAAATCGCTATCCGTATCCTTGAACCAAATTAAATCTTTACCTGACTCTCATTGACCAAACAGCCATTACGGATTCTTTTGTTAGTATCTGCGAACCCAAATTCAGTCGTGATATATTTTAGCTATTTTAGATAAATTATCATAAGTAATACCATAAGGGCATCTAATTTTTTCGAAAAAAGAATCGGAAAAACACGTTGCTAAGTAATATTTTAACAAGAAGCATGAGTGCTGATGGCAATAAAAATCCGAGTTGAAGACTGCACCTGCACGAATGTTTTTTGTTAAAAAATATTACTCTGCATTGTCTTTTATCGATTTTTTTCACAAGAAAAATTAGCTTTCCGGATGTTATTTGACAAGACTATTTCATGAGTAACTCTGGTACAAAGGTATTGTAACTTTTGGGGTCGTTTTGAGGCGGGTGAACACAAAA